TTCTGTGAATATACCCAGTCTAGGGGTCTAGATTTCATTTAATGCAGTCCTCAACAAGATTTTCAGATCTTTGTACCGGGAAATGGGGGCTATGTATATTTACTTACATTCACAGCAATGAGTGCATCCTAACGATCACACAATATCAACAAACACTCAATAGTATTGCCTGAACTAACTGCCTTTGGTCCTGTCTAAGTCTTAATATGAGCACTGATAGGTTGCAATGAAAGAAAGAAGAAAAAAATGGCAAGAAATTAGTAAAGTGTTGTTCAACCACAGTGCTTCAAAGAAATTAGGAATGTGTTGTTCAACCACAGTGCTTCAAAGAAATTAGTAATGTGTTGTTCAACCACAGTGCTTCAAAGAAATTAGTAAAGTGTTGTTCACCCACAGTGCTTCAAAGAATATAGTAACGTGTTGTTCAACCACAGTGCTTCAAAGAAATTAGTAAAGTGTTGTTCAACCACAGTGCTTCAAAGAAATTAGTAACATGTTGTTCAACCACAGTGCTTCAAAGAAATTAGTAAAGTGTTGTTCAACCACAGTGCTTCAAAGAAATTAGTAACGTGTTGTTCAACCACAGTGCTTCAAAGAAATTAGTAATGTGTTGTTCAACCACAGTGCTTCAAAGAAATTAGTAAAGTGTTGTTCAACCACAGTGCTTCAAAGAAATTAGTAAAGTGTTGTTAAACCACAGTGCTTCATTCCTGAAAAACACGAAGTGCTGAATCCAACATTAAAATCATAGAAACAAAGTTTGATTTTGGAGTCAAAGAACACGAAAACAGTTCCGGATTTCCAAGTCCAGAACTGTTCTAGATTTGAGTTCTACTTAGCACAGCCCTATGCATGAATAAAATGGGGGAAATACCCAGGATTTGTTGAGGCCTGATTTTATGTATATTAAAATTGTAAACAAAAACATTGATAAAGTGCTATTACTTTCTTATACAAACAGCTATATACATATATAGATAAATAAATAATATGTTTTTATAAATAAGTAAAAATAGTGAAGTAACATGAAAAATAATTGCATCTAGCCTGTTTTGATAAGACCTTAATAATATTATTACAGAAATGGTATGATAGTGTTACTATTATACATCTACATAACTGTTTGGGCACCCCTGTCCCCCACACTAGATCCAGCAAGATGCTTCATTTTGATATTATTTAACAACATTGTTTCTGGCCTGACCCTGTAACTAAGCTTTGCAGAGTATAGCCTACATTTTTTGACTTTTTGGTCTTGCTCTATATTAAAATATGTTGAAATAGGACCTTGCTTGTTTCAAGCTATCAAAGACAACATTCCTCTGGCCAGTTTCACCTCAATTTGTTGTATCTCTACACAACAGCAGATTATGCTGGCAAGGTGTCAAAAAAGGAATTTCAAATTAAAGGTGAAGAAGCTATCATTTCTGACATTCCTATATTTGAAAAGTCCAAACACTGTTTTTTTGCCTTTTGTTTTATTTATTTGCTACCAGAGACTCATAAAACATCTGCAATCAAATTTGTATCTTTATTGCAAAATTTTTAGAATAACATAAAAGAATTCTACTAGCAGACACCAAAATTTATAAGTCAACTTGTCTTAGGCCTAACATTAGTTAAACCTTTATTAAGTATGGTTAATATTTGATGGAGATAAATTAACAAAGTAACTTGTGTATATTTTTTGGTTTAGTTTAGTTAGGACTTTCAGCACGGGCTCGATCCCTGGTACCGACCTTGTAACCATTTTGTGCTTGTTATAGTTTTCATGCTATAACTTTTAAATTAGTAAGCAAAGGTTAACAAAATTTGGCAGATTATCGGTAAACATTACAATGCTTTCATACACAAAATACCTAATATTTTTATAAAGTCTTAAGGTTTGTAAAGCAACGTTTTTCTCATTTTTTTTGCATGTTGCCTGTCTATCATGCAAAGTAATATTCATTTTAAGATTAAAAATACTTTTACGCATCCGAAAATTTTTTAATTTCACATGCAAAATCTTTATAATGTCCAGATAGTTATCAAATAATTTTTAAGAAAAAAACTTTATATTTTATCTTTTATTTTCAGTAATTAATCTCTGTACAGGTTTGGTAGATTTGACTGATCTCGCAACCACCATAAAGAATTAGGAAATAAATATAAATTATGCCCTTTTCATACAAAACTATAGGGTTAGTAATTTGATTTCACAAATATCTAATTTGAACCAGTTCTGCATTCAACATACCATGTAACACACAGAAATCGATGTTTATCTGTTTTTTTAACATTTACTTTTAAGTTAAGAAATTGAGTAATATATGTAATACTAAAATTTGAATTATACCCTACAGTTTGATACCAAACTTACTGACATAAATTCATGATATAGTAGTTCAATAAAATTTTGAATGCGAGTCAACAAACCGGATGACATGCCCTTTCACCCATAACCCATCTCAAAAGGTTATATAGTGACCATAAATAGCACTGACTTTTTTTCCAATTTATAATTTGGGCATCATTATGAATATTCCAACCAGTGGTGAGCAACAAACAAAATTATTCAAGAAATAAGAAGCTAGATGTAAGCACAACATTTAAGGGAAAGACACACACAATTGATAAGATTTTTCTGGCAGTTAGTTATGCATTGTTCTCATGCAACTCTTAAATCAGATTCACCAAGTTTAAAATATCAAGTAAAAATTGTGAGTACAAGTGCTTTTTTCATTCCATATTAGGAAATACAATTAATATCATAAATATACTTATAATATTTGATAGTATACTTAAAAATATAAAATTCAAAACAATGCTTCCTGGAAATTATATTAAAGGCACACAACTTATTAATTTTTTCCTTGCTCAAAAACTTGGATTGTATTTTTAAAAAAATATGTACAAGATAACATTTTCCAAATAAAATGTCCTAGTTTATCTTGCTATCCATCAGATTTATTTGCATGCATTATAAAATAAATTTACTACCAAGTTAATGATTGATCTGTCTTTATTGTGACCCTGCTGATAGTTACAATTAATCTGTCCTTCCAGTAACTGCACTGATGGATAAAACTGATGTCTAGTTAAATTAATATGTCCACACAGTACCATGCCAAAAATTACAATTAACCCTTTAAAAACACGGTCAGAGCATTGGACCAAGCTTATGAAACAATATATATATATATATATATACGTACATACCATAACTCAGAATTTACAAATGTATTTTCACAAAATTTAGCAAGGTTTTAGTTTAGTCCGTTGAACACAAAAAATCTAACTTTTAACAATGTATTCCTACTACACGTTTACCTAAGAATTTCTGAAGCCTTTACTGAGCCAGTCTGGGTTAAAGGTAATTTTCATGCTAATAATAAAATTACTTAATCATACAGCTTTCATTTGCATAATCATTAGTTCTCCCATATCATTATTAGTTTTTCTGTAAGATTTCATATTTTCTCTAACCTAACACTAACACAATACTTGATTCTCAAACTGTCAGGAAATTATTAACATACAAGTTACAACTGAAAAATATGAAATAAAATTAGTAAGGCCATTCTTTCTTTTAAATTGATGCGAGTATTGTTCAGAAAGTTTTAAATTACCTGATTTAACAGTTTCAACTCAATGTTAACCTTTTAACAACTACTTTATTTTATGGTTCTATTACAATACTTTTTACCCACTGAAGCAGAACCTTACATCTAAAAAAAGCAATAAACCACAGTGGGAGCCAATGTAAGTACTTATTTCTAGCAAGTATAACAAACACACTGTGTACTGCAACACAAGACATGCACTGCTTGTGAAATTTGGATGTATTAGTTTCCTATAGTTTATTAGACTAAGCTGAAAAGTATATAATGTTCACACGCTAGGTGCTTTTGTTAAAAAATGTGTCACAATTGCACTACGAAAATAGTCTGCACTAGTGTGCAAATCTAATCTGCTCTTCTCTAAGCCTTGAGCCTTACAAGTTTGGTGTCCAAAAAATAATTCATGTAATTTTCAAATATGCATGTTAGAACCAAAAAAAAATATATTACTTGCTGAGACAGAATGTTCCAAAACGAATACACAACAAGTTCCATAACTTATTTTTGTAAGCTATTTTGGCATAATTTTCAAAATTTAAAGCATATCCACTCCACTTTATCACAACCACAGACAAAACAACAAATGGCTAGACATCTAAAATGGTCGATGCCAATGTTGTGCTTCCCTTAAATAAAATGATCTAGAAAAATCCATTACAACAGCTTATTTTTTAATTTAAAAAATTCTGAAATGGAAAAATTGGAGCCAAGATGTGCTGACACAGAAAAATGAAAATTTCTTAATGTTTCTTTTAGAAATTAAGAAGTTAAAAACCTATATAATATTAAAACTGAATTATAAAGTATACTGTAATGCCAAGTTTGTTGTTCTATGTTGATAAGTTATATAATTAAATCTTATGACACTGTAAAATTTCATAACATGCACATTTAACAACCCCACACTTAAAACTAATAATAAAAGGCATAATCTGTTGTGCTGACTAACTATATAATATTCATAGCAGATATTTGATATGTCTTTTAATTACTTAATGACAGTAACATGACAGTACTTACAAGTTAGGCTAATGTCTATAATATCATAACTATATAATGTACATTGTACCTACTTCAACTATTTCAAGTATATGTGGAATCAATCTGTCTGCGTGCTCAATTATTATTAAGGACAATAAGGGGCCATTTCGTCCTTTTATTTACTTCCGCAAGTTCTATTTAAATACAATCATCTAGGCTATAATTTGCATTTCATAAGCCTAGGAATACGACTCTAGGCCTGTTATAAATTATAAATTTACATAATAAACTTTTCTTTGAATGAACTACACTTAGGCCTAACGTTAGGCTTAACTGTATCTCCAAAGAATCAAAGCAGAAATGCGTGAGCTTTTTACTAAAAAATGTTTCACTACCAAATACTCTATAAAAGGATACACTTGAAGCCTTTGACCCATATCTTGAATAAAATTAGCTGCCTGTTGCCTGTAGGAAAATTCTTTGTCCACGTCTATACCACATTTTCGACTTGGAGTGTTCAATAACTGATTTTTCGAAAAAATCCATCTTTCACTCCCCGCCATTGACCTTCGTCGAGAAGGAAAGAGTATTAGACCAGGATACTACTTCCTGTTTCGACAATTTTTTCTGTTTAATAAAATCTTTAAAAAAATAAAAGAAAAATGTACATAAAATATTTAAAATGAGTTACAGTGTTGATAAAAAATTACAAAAACTAATTATAATATATAATTATTTTAAATTTAAAACAAATTATTTTCACCAATCCCTTCAAAGAATATTTTTATAATAGCTTAATAGCGCGTCTGGTGGGACGAGGAATTTTATTTATAGCGTCAGTAAGATGTCTTCATTTACAGTTAGGTATTTGTTTTGTCTTTAGTGCTATTTAATCCGAAATATGCACGCTGCTGGTAACACAATCAATAGAATTTATGTGAAGTTAAATGTAGAAAGCTTAATATACTGAAGTAGATTCGTAAGTATTTCGATTCTTACCGTTAGCAGGTACATATACACTAAAAATAAAACTGTAAAACTAAGAATAGAATATACACCAACATAGCCTAGGTTAATAATGGCTGGAGACGGCTTAAATGGGTAATGAAGAAAAACTTTAATATAAGTTTAAC